GAACCAACTAAACAACTAAACAAACAAATAGCATACAAGGAGATTGATGAAGTAATCAGAAGTCTTCCAACAAGGAAAAGCCGAGGCCCAATGGACTAACCACTGCATTCTGTGAGACTTTTAAAGGTGAACTAATATCAATACTCCCCAAGCTTTTCCGGGAAATAGATGTAGAGGGAGTAATCCCAAACTAATTCTATGAAGGCAATATCATACTCATCCCAAAATAAGGTAAGGCTCTGAAAAAAAAAAAAAAGAGACAACAATTGACTAATTTCTCTGATGAGCACTAATGCAGATCTCCTCAATAAAATATTAGCCAAAAAAAATCTAGAAACTGCTAAAAAACATCTTACATTATGACTAAGTAGCCTTCATCTCAAAGATGAAGGCTGATTTTGTTAGTATTATCCCCATATTTTTTCCTCAGCACCACACATACCTAAGCACCGCCCTGCCCTGGAGTTCTGGCCAAACAGCTGGCCACTCCCTCTCTCTTTCCAGATTCACCTGAGCATGCACCTACCTCACTTCCTGCCCCCAGACACTCCAGCTACCTGGAGTGGAACTGATGCCTTGTGCTTCCTCTCCTTGGAAATATGCCCCCTCTAATAACCTTATAATAATCTTTCTCCTGTGTCTGCTTGCCTCCAGCCTCCACATCCTCCCCTGGGATGGATCTGAAGGATTCCTTTCAGATTTAACATAGCTAAATCAATATATGTAATTCATCACATCAATAGAGCCATGGTCAAGAATCGCATGATCATCTCAATAGCTCAAAGGAACAGATTAGAAGATGCAGCCATAAAACCACATATTTATAGTCATATTCAACAAAGGAGCCAAAGGCAAACAGTTAAAAAAAATAGCCTCTTATTGGTGTTGGGAAAACATGACAGTCATATGCAGAAAACTAAAAGTTTATCCCTAATTGTCACCACACACTAACATCAATTCAAAGTGGATTACGTCAGACCCAAAACTCTAAAGTACTGTAAAATGACATGAAAACTCATAGGTACAGACAGGCAGGAACTTCCTGAATAGAGTCCCAGGGGCACAATGGATAGGAGAGTGACTCAACAAGTGGGACTACATTGAAAAAAAGGTTTCTGACCAACTAAGGACATAGCTAATAATCTAGAAAGACAGCCAACCAATTGGGAAAACATCATTACCAGCAATATATCAAAGGCCTACTACTCAACAAATACATTTTGCTCAAGAAATAACCCCTCCCAAACCTAATAAACAAATCACTAAATGGGCAATGGAGTTAAGGAGAGACGTTTCAGAAGGGGTGAGTGTGGCCAAAAAAATAAAAACAAAAAACAAACAAACAAAAAAAAAAACACATAACGAAATATTCATCATCCCTGGCCAAAAAGGAAATACAAATCAAAAGAACCCTGAGATATCATCTTACCCCAGTTAGACTGGCGAATACTTTGAACTCTGACCACAACAAATGCTGGCAGGGAGATAGAGAAGGAACCCTACTTCACTGTTGATGGGAATGTAAATTAATACAACCACTGTGGAAAGCAGTCAGTAGGTTCCCCAAAATCTCAACACAGACCTTCTGTATGACCCAGCCACACTATTCCTAGGCATCTACCCTAAGCATCATGAACCCCAATATGATAAATACTCCTGTACACCCATGTTCATTGCCACACTATTCAAAAGAGCCAGGATACGGAAACAACGCAGATGCCCCAAAATAGATGAATGGATGCAAAAAAAATGTGGTAGCTCTATGCAATGGAATTTTACACAGCCTCATCCATCAGGAATGGCGTGGAACTAGAACAAATCATATTAAGTGAAGAAAGCCAAGATCAGAGAGAGAAATGCCACATATTCTCCGTGATATATGAAAGATAGACTTAAAACAGAATGGGGGGCTGGGAAGGTGTCTCAGTGGTAGAGCGCTTGCTTTGCATGTATGAGGCCCTGGGTTCGATTCCTCAGCACCACATAAGCAAAAAGAAAAAAGCTGGAATTGGAGCTGTGGCTAAAACGGTAGAGTGCTAGCCTTGAGCTGAAGAGCTGAGGGACAGTGCCCAGGTCCAGAGTTCAGGCCCCACAACCGTACCCCCTCAAAAAACAAACAAAAGCAGAATGGGATATGACAAATGATACAGGATTCTAGACACTCAAATATAGGGAGCCTAAAAGAGGATAGTCTTAGGAGAAAATCAGGATGTTGTAAGTTTCTTAATATATTTATACGTGTGTGTGTGTGTGTGTGTGTGTGTGTGTGTGTGAGTGTGTGTGTGTGTGACCATGGCATTACTGTTCAACTTTCCATTAAAGTTCATCTAGTGTGTTGAGTTACTTGTCTGTTCTTTCTTTATTCTGACTCCCTCATAACTCAGTTTCCTAAAAATAACTGTTGAAAATGGGTCTGGTCAAACAAATGCCTGGTTGCAATGCATAAAATATTCTAATTACCCTTTAAATACAGGTAGGGCAAGAACTCATATTGTCCCCCTTGTCTCCATGATGGACCACAGATCCTGTCAGTACAGTGTGCCTGAAACTCTGCTTCCAAGGCAAGATGTCTTGGGGTAACAAGTCCTGAAGCACAGTCTCACTGTTGTCTCCCATGATCAATTAAAGCTACATCAGTTGGTTAAGTTCCTGTCCCATAATGTTAACTTCACCCCATGCCTTGCTAGGCAGGGTAGGAGAAGTCGAGTTCCTGGGAAATATATCTGGGTAGAGTGAAAGCCAGGCATTTGAGGAGATGTGAAAGTTCCACCTCTCAGAATTGCTACAGCTGATATCCAGTAGTATTGTGGGGCACATTTTCTTCAGGCTTTTCTGAACAAATGGAGCTGAACCTGTGTTAGGAAAAAGAAAATACCGACAGGCCCAACTTGGTCTTCAACATAGGAGGGGCAGACAAACCGTCCAGCAGGATAGAATATTGTGCAAGTTGGTGGAGTAGGGGTCAGGTTTATCTTGGTCTTAACAAGCAAACAGAAAATACGAAGCATAATATGGTCTCTTGGGGGCCCAGAGGGGCCAAGGGCGTGTGCTCTTGGTCAGGCTCAGAATAGAACGCTCTGCGTCCGGCAGGGAACTTTTCTGATAAGACCAGGTTGGAATGACTCACAGTCAAGCACGAGAGCACTCACCTGGTGTTTTGCTTGACCTGGGAGAAAAAGGCGTCTTCAATCCTTTCACCCTAGTATTTCAAAAAGTAGGAACTCTTCAACTGGAACTCCAGGTTTACATAGATGTCTTCAGGATTCAAGGAGGAGTTCCTGGTGACATTAAGGCCAAGGACATTTGAATTCATTTAGCAAGATGGCATGGGAAAATTGGACCGCTCCTGATATTATTCTAGCAGGAAAAGGGGGGAAGAGCATGTGTTCTAAAAAGCTTGTAATTTCACCTCGAAAAATACTACCTTGTATAGGACCACAAATTAGAAGTTCAGAAGTGGCTTTCTTGCTATGCAAGAGTGCAGATATCAGTTCTAAAATCTCTCATTCTTGGGATTGGAAAATATTTTTAATTGGGTGTTGTGAATTAAATCACATGGAGACTAGTATTAAAATAGTTAAAAGAAAAAAATAGTAAAAAAAAAAAAAGAGAGAGAGAGAGAAGAGAATTGTCAGAGAACCTTGCTAAAAATTTCCTGCTTTGGTCTGGTGGTTTGGCTCCTGTTGAGTAAAAGAGGAGCTGCTTTGGTCTTAAATAGGTTTCTTTACATGATGGGATTAAGACACACCCTAGACTCTTCCGGAAATAGCAGAGGGTGTGGGTATATTTTGAGATTTCTTGTGTACCCTTCACCACATTTCAAAGTCACCTTATGTAAATATATTTTACCCTATTTAAACTAGCCAATATTGAGCAAATTGTGAACCTGAGCTTGGCCAATCTGAGCAGAGGGGCAGGGCCTGCGGCAGTCAGGATAAATAGGGGAGCAGCCTGCCTGTTCTATGTGTTTGCTTGACGATTTTTGGTTGATGGTACACCTAGAAATATTTTCTGTCTTGCTGAGACAATTCTTTATTCTCTTTCTTTCTTTTCTTTCTTTTTCTTTTTTCTTTCTTTCTCCTGTCCTTTATTTCTTTCTTTTTCTTCCTTTCTTTTTCTTTTTCTTTTCTTACCATTATTTTATTTTATTATAGAGGTGATGCACAGAAAGGTTATAGTAACAAACAAAAGGTACCAAGTATATTTCTTTTCCTAAGGTGTTATCCCCTCCCTTTCTCCTGCTTTCGGTTCTCGTGACTGCCCCCTCCCATGTTGTAAAGCTCATTTCTAACACAGTGTCTAGTGAGTATCACTGTTGCATTGCTTCCCCCTTGGTTGATCTATGATTCCACTTCCCTTTTCCAAATCAGATAAACTTTGATACTCCAATGGTTGTTCGGAGCATAGTTATAACAAGGACAAACACAACTTGTACCAGAAATTCACTGAAAGCAACAGTAAAAGGGTGGGGCCTTGTTTTTAATCTCAATTCCAATTGATATGGAAATGAATTGCACACCCTTCTCTACACACCCTTCTCTAAGCCCTCCCACCCAAAATGTAAAAAAATGGAACTAGGGAATCAAGCTATTCCGCACATCCCACCGCCTTGCCATGGACAGCACTTGGAGAGAGCTTGCCAGTGGTGAGGACCAGAGCAGGAGAATCAGCTCTCTCCATCCTCTTTGTTTGGAAAGATGGAGTGGGACATTGCCCAAGCCTTCCAGGAAGAGTTGAGATGCCCCATCTGCAAGGAAACCTTTATCGACCCAGTCACCATCCACTGTGGGCACAGTTTGTGTCGACCGTGTCTGCGCCTCCTCTGGGAAGAAGCTGAGACTCCAGCCAGGTGCCCTGTGTGCAGGCAACCCTCTCAGCAAGAAGAGCTCAAAACCAACATTGCCCTACAGAGTCTGGTGTCCATCAGCCGACAAATCAGCCTCCGACAATTCCTGAGCTCCGAGGAGCATACATGCTGCACACACAAGGAGACCAAGTAGATGTTTTGTGAAGTGGACAAGAGCCTGCTGTGTCCTCACTGCTCCCCGTCTCGGGAACATGAGGCTCACAGACACCACCCTGTCGACTGTATTGCTGCAGACAAACGGAAGATTATTTTAAAGGAAATGGACACTATATGGGAGAAGATACAAGAAAACCAGAGCAATATATACGAGAAGAGGAACATCATCAACCAGTGGGTTTGGTACATGAATCTACACAGGGAGATGACCAAAGATTTTTATTCAGCACTGCATCTGGGTCTCCGGGAGGAGGAAATACGACTTTCGGAGATACTCAAAGAGAAAGGAAGAGTCATCTTTCTGCAACTCAGGACAATGGAAACCCAAATGCTTCAGAAAAGCAGTAACCTCAGAAACATATATCAGGAGCTGATGAAAACCTACCAAAAGCTAGACCTGGAACTCCTGCGGCATTTAGAAGACACCCTGGAAAGATGCGAGAGTGCCTTGGTCTTCATGCCCCAGCTGAAGAAGCCAGAGCTCAGCCCTCCTTCCATTCCTAGATTGATGGATAACCTCAACCATTATCGAGTGGAGATCACCTATTGTCATTTGATTCAGAATCATGAAGAATCCAACTATGTTGCTCTTTCAGGAATCCAAGAGTTCAGCTCTGGGAAACATTACTGGGAGCTCAGTGTCCAAGGCTTCTCCACCTGGGCTGTGGGCGTCTTCAGAAATTCAGCAATAGGGAGCAACCTTATTCTGAATGAATCTGAAGACATTTTTCTTCTTTTCTCTGGCAAGGGGAACATTCATTATAGTATCTTTACCACCGCTCCATTGCTTCCTCACTTTATAGAGAGACCAGTGGGCCGCATTGGTGTGTTTCTTGATCTCGAAAATGGAAATGTGAGTTTTGTGAATGCTACTAAGAATTCCTTTATCTGGAGATACCCAACTAACTCCTTCCAGTATCCTGTCAAGCCTTGTTTTTTCTCCTGGTAACCCATAATCATAAGTAAAGAGCTTTTATTTCCTTTTTTTTTCTTTCTTTTTTTTTTCTTGGTTGTGGAGATTGAATTCTGGGCCTGGGCACTATCCCTGAGCTCTTCCGCTCAAAGTGAGTGCTCTACCGCTTGAGGCACAGAGTCATTTCTGGTTTTCTAGTGGTTTATTGGAGATCAGGGCCTCTCGGACTTTCCTGACAGGGCTGGCTTTGAACTGTGAGTCTCAGATCTCAGCATTCTGAGTAGCTAGGATTACAGACATGAGCCACCTGTGACCAGCTAGTAAAGAGACTTCCTATGTGTTGGGAACTCTCTATACCAGAGAACCCTTCTCAACTGAAGCAAATAACTTATGCTGTTCTTATTTGTCTTTGTAATGTAATTACATTTTTGTTATGAAATATAGAGTTAAAATAAAATGCAAGATGTAAAAATGTTAGTGCATGCATGTTTAATTTTGATTCTGACATATGATAAACACTATAATAAACAGTGGATGGCACAATGAAACTTGGCTTATAAGTAGCTTATTTCTTAATTGTTTCATCTTCATCTCTAACACCAGTAGCTAGGAGTTTCCATATTCCCTCTGCATTTCCACAAATGATATTACTTCCCTGAAGAACAAAAGCAGAGTTGGCATGACATCTTTCTGCAGACCATAGAGAAAATCTGGGCCATAAGACACTAGGCATTACCTATGTCTTCATGGTGTCTCAAGAAAGAAGAAGTTCTGATGTTTCCCAAGCAAAGAGATTAGTTAAAGGAAGAGCCATCTTATTGCTTTAAAGATAGCATCCATTTAAGCTACTGTGCCCACAAAACTCAGATTAATGGCATGAGGCAGATATTCAGGAGGGAATGAAAAAGATAACTGGCTTATTGATTTTTGCAAGATTAAATCGAACACAGTACTAGAAATGAATCATACTAAATTTAGCTTGCTTACCTACAAAGCAACTCTTCACATCCAATCGTGTGTCACTGTGCTCAGTTTAACAAAGGCAAAACCCCCCTCAGTGCCAGGAATATTTAATTTCCTCCTTCAAGCCTATTAGGGTTCACTTTTTTTTTTTATAGGCAAGCCAGATTCCTGTAGTGAGATCATTTTTTAAAGTTTTCCTTTTGGTTATGGATAGAGGCTGTTTGGAGGGGTTGTGAGTTAAAGAAATGGAGAGAGTGGGCTTAATTGGGATACGTTACATGTGTGTATGAGAGTATCGTTTCCCTTTCCCATCCCTTCCCATACTCCCCCCACCTCCACACACCCTATCCCCCCCCAAAGTTGTAAATTCGTTTTTCAACATAACGACTTGTACATCTCATTTTTGCAATGGGTCTACCTGTATCCTTATTTAAATGATTTGTTTTTTCCCTTCCCAAAATATTCATTTTTTAGAGTGGAGTAACTCCATAATATTTCTTCTGGCTAGTTTGTCTTCCTCATTGGTTATCTTAAAATTATAGAATTATTTACTTTTACATCTTAGAGAAAATTGAATTTAGCTTCTTATATATTAGATTCAGAATGAAGGTGACTTAAGGAAAAATGTTTTGTATTACTATAGGCCGCAAACAGTGTTAAGAAATTTGCTCACATTGTCAAATATGTTCATCACAAAATTATTTAGAGGATTTTTGTCATCATTGATTTGTTTCACTTTGGCAGAAGTGGGTTATAAACTCAGGGTCTTCCACTTGCTAAGCAAGCATTCCATCACTTGAGCTACCCTGCCTGACCACCCTTGCTGTTTCTTTTTTTCTCTGTTTTTTTTTTTTGTAAAGCTAGTGCTCAAATCCAGGGCCTCAGACATGCTAAGCAAGCACCATACCATTGAGATGTACCCCAGGCTCAAGCGAAGCAATCTTATCACATCCATACAGAAAGAAATCTGGTATTTTAGTACACCATGATGTCAGAATGAAGCAAGATCACAATAATATTAACAGGAGGATAAATCACTCAATGGTGATGTATCTATCTATCTATCTATCTATCTATCTATCTATCTATCTATCTTCCTGACCCTGGGGTTGAACTCAGGGGCTGGGTGCTGTCACAGCGCATCTTTGTGCTCAAAGCTAGCACGTGAGGCACAGTTCCATTTCTGGCTTTTACTGAGTGGTTTATTGGAGAATAGAGTCTCACAGACTTTTCCACCCCACTGTCTTTGAAATGAGATCCTCAGATATCAGCCTCATGAATAGCTGCAGGTGTGAGTCACCAGTGCCCTGCTTGGTGATTATATCTTTGTCAAGATGCGAATATGGATCAATTTAACCCCCAAAATTTATAAAACTGTTTTTATACAAACATTGGAGATATTTTCATTTTTCTATCAGATCATTTTGATTAAAAATATTCCTACACTAACCTGTAATTAAAAATTGTGTACATATTATTCTTGAGTCTCTTACTTAAATCTATAACTTTAGAAGGAATGACTCCAATCACTTGATCTTCTATGCTTTTCTGTTCATGCTTTTCTGTAGACAAGTACATGTTAAGACCAATTTTGTTCTCCAATTTACATATTATTCTTATAACCTTGAAAAATCAGTAGATAGCTCACTTTGTGCAAATTACATGCTTTTCTGAAATCTTTACCACTCATACCTCCATAAAGTAGAAGCTATATTGAAAACTAATGCAAGCTAAATGGTTTAGGCATTAACAAAGTTTCAGTCAACCAAGAAATCAGACAAGGATATAGCAACATAGTAAGTCTGAAATTTATTTTAAATAAATATGGTAGATATTCTTTTCCTACAGGTATGAAAATGAAACAATGAAGCTTATTGAGGTTTGTTTGTAAAGCTGGGAGAATGGATGAAGGAAAAAAAATGGAAAGGAGAAAGCTAAACAAGGTACACTCTATGCACATATGGACATATCAAAATGAATGCCCATGAATAATGAGCCAATAGATTACATACAATATAATTAATAATGTACTATGGGCTAATTATATGGGCTAATAGATGCTCAAAATGTGAAAATTTTTATTGTATTTTTAGGTTGAAAATAATATAAGGTACAAGTGGAATTATCACTTAATTCTACATGATAACAGCCCAATTTTCCATTTACATATCATAATTTATTTTTCAGCTTGAGAGTAAATAAAACAATTAAATTAGTTAACCATGGGATCAGGCGACAAATTAACCATGGATTAAATACTGGCTTTACCAGATAGCAACTGGGAGATTTCAGGTTCTCTGAGGCTACAATCTTCCATGAGGATCTACTTTGCAGCTTGACAAGCTGTTGAAAATGTTAAGTTACATAATAATTACTTAGTACGGACACAATGAACACATTCTGTATTCATGAAGTAAATGTTAGTTTTAGTGGTACTAGAGTGAAATTTACTTAAGAGACCTATAAGAAATTGGTACAAACGAAAGCATTGTTTACACTTTTATCAAAGATGTCAATAAAGAGAAATCTGGCAACACGAATGTTCAACTTTCATGCTGTTTTCTGTTTCAGTCTACATTTTTATTGTGGTGTTCTCATTCCTCTCACAAAATTTCTGGTGTTTTTGACTAAGAGTGTTACCATTATATGTAATCGTTTCTACAAATATTAAATGTTGCCTCTTAAGCCATCATATTGTTGATGTTAATGTGGCCTTAATCACCTTCTTAAAACAGCTGCCTGAATCCTTCTGCCTTATATCTGAGTGATTGGACCATTAGTGGTAAAGAAGAAAGATGAGAGTTGATGCCAGTTTGGCTCTTGGTAGATCGTAGATTTTTTTGTTCCATGGGAAATCTAGAACAGAACTACCTGAAGTAAATAACAAAATATTTGCAAATTCTAGGGTATATTTAGGGGCTTATTAACTCGTTTTTAAAAATAGTTATTATGTGCATGGTTTTATTCTTAGAATTTCAGTTACTTAAGAATGGAAGCCTTAAGTGAACTCAGCAAATAATTTGAGGAAAAAAAACTTTTAATGATAGAAATTAAATTGGACAATCCTACATGAGACTAAAATGGATGGTTACATATTCAGAAAAAATGTTCAAGAAAGGGACTCCCAGAAGAAGTGCTAGTTAAGTTGGGAAATGAAGGGAGATAAGCCAACCTATGTTGGAGAGAAAATCCAAATTGAGGATAACAGCAAAGGCAAAAAAAAATCTCTGTCTTCGCAAAAGCCTTGCTCTGGAGGTATGTGGCAAAAAAGGGCTTGCCATTAAAGGAAGAAGAGTTAACAAGGAAGAAAAATAGAACATAATGCTCCTCAGAAAGCCACTGGATAATGTTAAAGTAGAGAAAATTGTATTATCTAAATATTTGAGTCTTTTAAATAACACTAGCCGTCCTGTGGGGACAGGACAGCTAGTGGTCAGAGTGCTGATAGGGGGCAAAAAGGTGGTTTTCATTTTCCTAGGGGTTCATACATTTTTGTATAAAAGTATGTTCACTTTTGCCAACAAAACCACACAGTAAATTCAAAACTAAGTAGATCAATGAATAGCTTCTCAATGTTTCTTCTAAATGCTCCTCCAGCTAGGGTGGAAGTAATAAGGAAGTTAAGTTGTTCTCCTGCATACCTAAAAGGCAGTAAAAGAAATGCACTTTCAGTGCAATAGTAATGGCAAAGCAATGTAAGTCCTGAGCCACATCATAGATGGGGGTACAGACTTCTGAATGTATTGATGTGTGAAGACTTGTTCATTTTGTGACATTATGTAGTCACTTCTGGACAGAATTTTAGTAAAATCCTTCTCTCCTCCCCTATCACATATCCTATTCTTGCTGCTCTTGGGGAGTTTTTAAAATCTGTTTTTGTTTTCTGCATGTGAAATTTCGCTATTTTAGGAAATCTAAATTCTTCCCCTGAATTACAGTCCCTTCTGCAGTTTTCAACTTTAATTGCTGACACACAAAGTAGATTTTTTTTTAACACATAGCCTGGTCACTGGGACACCAGGTGTGTGTGACACCAAAATTATTGACTTAACCTCAGCAGATTCCTTCAGTGC